AGAAGTCTGTCTCCCCTGAGGTCACAGCGGGACCCTCCGGCCTGTTTTTCTTGGAGCTTCGCAGCTTTAGCGTTTACCTTTAGGTCTGTAAGTCACGTTGAGTTACAGGATGGCGTGAGGCATGACTGACTTCAGTGTTTCCTCTGCAGCATCCAGTTGGTGCAGCACCCTTTGTTGAGGAGACTCCCCATGAATTGTACTGGTCCTTCAGTCTGTGATCTGACTGTGCGGGTATGGGCCGATCTCTGAACTCTGTTTCCTTGTGTATTTCTATCGTTATGCCAGTACCATACTGTCTCAATTATATAGTTTTATAGTAAATCTGCAAATTAGTATATGTCGTAAAACCTTTTTTTCGTAATTGCCAAACTATTTCTCAGGAAAAATAAATCCTGCGTATCTAATAACCAATGTGCAAAAGAGCTTCAGACGTTAAATGCATGAGTCAGCTGGTGACCGGTAATGCTAGGGACATTGCAGTCAATGCCTTCATCTGGCTGTGCTGTTGTCAGGAAAGAATGTTTACTTATTTTTAGTCCTTTTTAGAGAACTCTGTAAACTGTATGACATCTTTTTTATACGTTTTTGAAGTCGAGGTGTTAATTTACAGAGAAGTAGTGACTCTTGCTTGGCTTCTATCAGCAACTTCTGTTGTTGCCGTTAGGAGCACGCAGAAGTGGAAGCAGCTTTTTTGTGGAATAATTGGAAGATAAATATGTTGGATGGCTGTCTGTATTATTATGCTAGAAAGCTGTATTTTAAGGACATTTCTGGCATGTTTATGACAACTGAATGGAAGATCTTAAAGCCACATGCCCATGGTTGGACAGCATCACTGTCACCTGATGTTGTCATCCTGATAAGCCTCTTTTGTGTTTGCAGAAACACTTCTTTGTCTTAGAGTTTAGCTGTTATAAACAGCTGTGCAGCTCTCAGCACCCAAGTTTTCCAATGAGAGGAAACCCCCTGGAACTTAGTGGTCCTGCCCTCTGCAGCCCACACCTGGGGTCGGGGAGGAGGCGTGACTGTGGCCAGACAAAGAGCACCCTCCGCGTCCCTCAGAGCTGCAGCTCCTGTTCTTGCTGAGGCCAGAGGACCTGAGGAGTCATAGGAGGCAGCCATCAGCTGGGAAGAGGAGACGCTTGGGCATGCGTACCTACTGAGAGTGCCGGCTCATGAGCTTTAGGAACAGCGGTGCTTAGGTGCAGCGATGCTTAGGGTGAAACTGTGAAGAAACCCAGCTTTGGGATATAATAGAAAAATATCTAACGTATGACAGGGGCCAAGGGCTAACATGGAATACAGATTCCTAGGAGCTCCTGGCTGAAGGAGGAGGAGAGAAAGTGGAGCAGCCAGCTCACTGAGGACGCTGGGCACATGGCCCATGTGCTTCCTTTAGGGCAGAACAGAGGGGACGCTCCTGGACCGAGACGCTCTCAGGGACCATGGGCAGGATCTTCACTTTTGTTTGTGGCTAGGATGGGGCAGGTACCTGGAAGGAGAAAAATCTGACTTGCTTAATGTCTGTGGCTGCAGAAAAATTTTGCCTAATACTGGCTTAAAAGGTGAGGGTGACATAAACACCTTTTGATTTGAGCGAATCCAGGCTCTTGCTGGAGACTACAAGTCGTGGGGCCTGAAACGCTGGGAGCTGAACTGGACCCTCTGGGAAAAGAACAGAAGCCATTCTGTTCACTTTGCCACTCTTGCATACCTGGTATCCCAGGTTCCTCCCCATTTTGTGACTTTTGACGTTTTATAAACCGCCCAAAGCATATACTGCGTGAGGTCAGTGTTGGGAGGACCACAGCAGTGAAAGGGCAGCGCCGTGGGCCCCACTGCACTGACCCGCTCTCACTGCAGGAGGGCTACTCACAGTCCAGCGGCCGTAGCAGCAATCCCACGACTTCACAAAAACTCCTGACCAAACCACATTCATCACAATAAAAGACGGCTGGGCCGGTGGTTCACGCCTGTAATCCCAGCAATTTGGGAGGTCGAGGTGGGCGG